ATAATGATACCAAATATGAGTGTTGTGGTCTCACGGTCAACTACATAGTTATTAGGGCTCCCTATGCTATTACTCTATTATGATATGTATGATAGTCACACTCCTCATGTGGTGGTGACTGAAGAATTCTTACGAGATATGACCACACCCAGAGTGGAGTCGGAGTATTACTACACCCATAGTGGTGTGGGGTATGTATGACCACATCCGACGGGATGTTGGGGTATGTATGACTACATCCGACGGGATGTGGGGTATGTTTCCCGGGAGAGTTATTAGCATGGGAGTAGCCAGGCGCCTATAAGTAAACCATGATAAGATGCATATGCATAAGTCAAGATGGTTGAGTCTTTTGCCTATTGGGATGTGGGATGGCTGAGGTCTGATCCTAGTGCTTTGGCTTGTTTGCTAGATGTATGGTAGGGGTATGCTCTGTTATGAACTCACGATGCAATGATTGTCTCACTCAGCCATGAGCTGACCCTCTTTTATTCTTCTTCTCTGCTAATGCTATGTGTAAGCAGATCATCAGCAGCAGCAATAGATAGGTGTATAGGTAGGAGGTGAGCAAGAGTTGAAGGCAAGATGAGGTATGGTCTTCAACTACTCTGTGCTTGGACTACTACTCGGGATTTTGGCCAGTGATCCACACCTTTTTGTAAAAAAAATTTGAGAACGTTTTTCATGTGCATACTAGCTTCTGATGTAGTGTTAGATATCCATAGGTGTGGAAAGTTAATGATATGTGTATATGTATGTAGTTGTGTAAGTTATGACGATTATGGCTTGTATCAGTATGGTATGCAGTTGTGTAGTATGAAACTGTGACTATGGCTATGAAAGTCCATGTATATGGTTGTGTATATATGTTTGTCTATGAATGCATGGATCAGATGAATTATTTTGCAGGATTTAGTTACAAGAACTGTTATCCCATTACGCGAGTAATTCATGTCGAAATTTTATTTGGGTAAATTTTGGTAATTAATGTAATACCCGAGATTATTTCCGCTGCAAATGTATGAACAATATGATTAAGCAAAACGTATAGGGTAGGGTGTTACATCCAAGCACGGCTGTTTGCTTGATGTTTGAGCGTATTGGCACTGTAGATGTGATTAGTGAATTGAAAGGCTTTTGACTTAATGCATGACAACTTGAGTGTGACTAAGACAACTTATTATGATGACTGAGATGTGCAGTAGAACTGTGTAAGGGTTCAGTTTTTCAACTGTTTGCTTACCAACTGTGACTTGGATTGATCACTTGCTTTTGACAGTCATTTATGCATCTAGTTCAAGGAATCAGAATGAGAGATAGAGCATATAGGTAGCCATGTGAGACTTGAGCTGCTCGCTTCTTTCTTGTGCGATAGTTCCCTCTTCCATGATGTGCAGGATTCACGTTGTCATTAGCTAAGATGATGGAGGCGTAGGATTAGCCCACGACCAAATTGACTGTCCTGATGTGTCATACCCCCTAGTCAGCCCTTTGAGCCGTGTGTTATCCTTTCTTTCGGTCTAAATGGAAAATCACCCTTTTGCATCTTTGAGAAGGTTCCACAGAGTGGTTTCTCCATGTTTTCTGTTGTTTCTGCTAAATGTAATGTGAGAGTTGGAGGTAGTTCTTGAAAATAAAAAGGGCATGTGTTTGCAAAAATGTGCATAGGTGGTTGTTCTCTCAAGAAATGAAAAAAAAAAAGAAAAAAAAGTGAATGAAATCAAAAGAGAGCCACCACCACAAAATCTGAATAGCGCCCATGGAGTAGTGCTTCTTGGCAGTGTGGCTTGGAAATACTACGTTTTTTTTGTTACCTCCTTCGCTCTTGTGCTTTAAAGAAAGTGAGTAATGCAGAATGGCAGAAAGAAAGAGTGGTTTGATTGACTGTGAGTGTGTTGGGTTTGGAATTGTGGAACCTTGTGCTATGAATACTTCCACCACCTAAAAGGCCTTTTCCCCATGTCCAAGACCCTAGCCAGTCATCTGAACCTGTGTCTAAGACCTCCAGATTAGTTAGTGGTGACGCCTCATATGTGAACTCTAGTATTTAGAGGTTGCCTTCATGGTGAAGAGACGTTAGGGATTGAGAGAATAAGAATGCACATTTTTCGCATCAAATTGTCCTGACCCCACTGGTCGAGAGTGAGCGATTCATTTTCTCATATTCTCTATACTCTTTATCCCGGTGAGGACCTGGATTGCTCGGTCTTAAGTCTGATATCTTGAGCTTTATGCATGAAGTGACTGTTTTGAATAAGTGGTTGGGTCAAGTCTATGTTGGTTGGTGAACAGAAGGGAGACTCTTCCTTTGTTCGACTTTACTGCATTCGAATGTCATCTGTGGTGGTTGTCTAGGTTGTCGTTGAGGTTGTCCTTGTGTTAATTATCAAAAACCAGTATGATCCACGTGTTTTGTGCTGATATGGTATGCCCTGAAGCCTGCTTGATTGAAACATTTTGAGCTTACCTTGTGTCTGACTTGGTTTGTTTGGGGACAAGCAAACGGTTAAGTGTGGGGGGATTTGATAACGATGTAATTGCAAATGTTTGCACCCCTAGTTCTTATCCGTTTGTGGGGCATAGTGTGTATTTTTGGCCTATTTTACGCCAGGTTGTGCTACTTTGTCATATTTCAGGTCCCAGACGTCGAAGGAAAGGCTAAGCACGATTTTCGGGGCATTCGGAAGTCATTCGGACGAGCTGGAACCAAAGCACGGGCGCGCCTTAATCAAAACACGGCCGTGTTCTTGGACCGTGTATTTAGTGTCGAGGCTTGATCCAAGATTGTCCAACACTGGCCCAAAACACGGGCGGAACTGATTCAAAACACGGTCGTGTCCAACATTAGGCACTACCGTGTTTTCCCCAAAGGTGTGGCCGTGTTTTTAACACGTGGCAAAGGGCACGGGCGGGCAGTAGCAAAGCACGGTCGTACCCTCGACCGTGTTTTGCCCAGATTCGGGTTTTTGAGGCAGATTCGAACCAAAACAAAGGGAATCGACTTTTGAGAGCAAAAACAGAGTTTTAGAGAGAGAAAGGGCGAAGAACAAACCCTAGGAGCTATTTGGAGTGGATTTCTCACCATTGCAGCCCAGATTGCATCCCCAGGAGTGAAGATTGACATCCCAGAGCAGATTTTCCTCATCTTTATGAGTATGACTACTCTGATTTTTGTTTTCCTCTCTCTCTCTCTCTCTATGGAGTAGAACCCTTCTCTCACTTGGTTATGAAGAACCCTAGTTCCATGTGTTAGGATCTTGATTGTAATGACTTGGGATGATTATACTGTTTGGTTTTAATCGAATGATGCATGATTCATTGAATTGATTGAAGTCTGATCAGCTTTTCTTGATTTCTGCTGCAACCTGAGATAGATAGAATCTGGTTAGGTTGTTAGAGCCTCTTCATTCGGTAGTAGTAGATTGGTTATACGAGAGTTAGCCAGTTTACTGCTTTGTACTGGAATCCAATCCCAGTAGTGGAGTTCTGTGCTTATTGCTTCAGCTTTCTATCCCGGTGAAGACTAGTCGTCTGCCGGGTAGTTAGACTGAGAGGGCTTGGTCAGCTTAAGAGATTCCAAGCTACTGTCGGATCTTCCGCAGTCTAATCATCAGTAAATCAACCCAAGGTAATTACAACTGAGACCTAACTAAGGAGCTAGGGGGACTCATTCCCGAGTGACTCTTCCTTTGCTTGAGAAAATCGAATCAATTCCTGCTTTCTTTCTGCTTTCAGTTAAGACCATAATCAATCGACTTAGTTTGATAGATAATAGATAATCACGGAGTAGGCAGTAGATCTAGACCCCGGGTTGATACTTAGAACTTGCCACTTTACTGCATTCCCGGACTGCGATTACACTTGGTCGCAGTTTGGTGTTGTGTCGTAGCGTGTCAAGGACGAACCTGACAATAATCTCTAATCGGCACGCTGACATTAGAGCTGCCATCTTAGGTTTGGATCCAACCTGGAAGTGGTCCCAAAGGTGGTGCATACGACACTTCAAGAGCAACTGGAACCATCATTTCAAGTGGAGGAAGCTTGCTGATAATTTGTGGTGGATTGGTAAGCTCTCTATTGGTTGTTTAATTTTGTCAGATAAAAATATCTTATATCAAATAAATGGTACACTTGTTAGACTCTTTCTAAAGATATGCATGCCTAAGGAAATGAGGTTTTAAGCGATTATCATGGTCCTCCCATTTTCTGGGAAAATCGAGTTTTAAGCAATCCTCGGATCCCCCCTTTTTCTTTCAAACAGGCTGTGTTTCTAAGGATATGTATACCTCTCCTAAGAGTCTAACGAGAGTACCTGCTAGTTAATATGAATTTTACTAAATTCCCGAATTATGCCTAACGTAATACTTTTCTATGTGTTCCTCAGTTGTTGCCTACCAAGAGAAAAAATTTCATGAGAAGTTGCAAAAGATGAGCGAGTTATGCCCTGAAGGGGCATGGTGGCTGGATGGACACGACCTATCCATGTGGACATTTCATAAAGACGGAGGAACAAGATGGGTTATTGCCACAACGAACTCAAGTGAGAGTATCAACTCTGTCTACAAGGGTGTTCGTCACTGCCAATCTCTGCCATTATCGAGATGACTTTCTGGAAAATGAATGCATGGTTCGTCAATCGAATCCACTAGGCAAGGAATAACGAGGCACAGGGAAAGGTCCATGCCTATAAAGTCACCAAAGTAATGGAGAATGACAATCGCAAGAGCAGTCGACATAGTGTAGCCGTTATGAATCGGGAAAATGGCGAGTTTAAAGTGACGACCGGACATCGGGAGGATGGTAGACACGGGGGCCATCACCATGAAGTTTTGGTCAATTTCAGAACAAAAATTGGTGAGTGCTCATGCCAGAAGTATCAGGGGAGAGGGTGGCCATGTTCTCATGCAATGGCCGTAATTAAAAACAGGAGCAAAGACCCCCGTCACTTCGTCCGTCCATTATTCAATATCGGCTCACTCAAAAATTGCTATGGACTGTGCATTCCCTGATCAAGCTTATTGGCCGGTGTACGAAGGAAAGTTGATCATCCCGCCGTTCGAACAGAGGCGTGAATCGGGTCGGCCGAGGAAAAAGAGAATTCAGAACGAAATGGATCAAAGTGGAAGACCACCACGAGGCCCAAGACGATGTTCAGTATGCAAAGTTCCAGATGATAAACGAAGTTGTCCAGGACCGATTGGTCCGCAAAATTCAGGTCCTGATGTGGCGGACTAAGCTAATGCGACATAGTTTGCGGTTATCATTTGTTGGTACTTGTTATGTATGTTTTCACTTATTGTCGGAGTTAGAGTTATGATGCTTCGAACTTGCGTGTTTGGCAAAGATCCCAAGTATTACTTGTTTCAACATAAATCACAAGTGATTAAGTTAACACTCAAGCCTTAAGTTAACACGAAAAAAATGGACAAAGCCTAAGTTACCACGAAAAAAAAATGGACAAAGCCAATTAGATAGAACTAAAAACAAACTAAGACAACACTCAAATAAATAAACTAAAATAGGAGGAAGGGTTTCAAGTACATATAATTAAAATTCAACTAAAAACAACACTTAATTAGGTAAACTAAAAATACATCTCAAGGAAGTCCCTGGGCAGATTGGGGCTGCACGGTTTTCTTGCTCCTTGTATGACGAGCGACGGGAGTAACCATCGCTGGTGGCGGTGGCAGATTTCGTTGGGCCATGCTAGGGCGCTCGTCGGTGCTGTATCGGCGTCGATTCGTGGGAGGCGTCGCTTCCGAGCTCAAGCGGGGGACATCCACGCTCATACGATGAGGAGTAGGAGGCCACGGCTTATGAGGGCGAGGAATAGGTCCTTGGTCCAAATAATACCTCATGATCGTTCCAAACATCCCTTGAACGATGGTTGGGTTGGTCGTACAAGTCGGTTGGATCAATAGGTCCTTGATCCAAATAATACTGTTGGTTATATATATCCACGTCGTCCCCAACCTACGAGAGAATAACAACGAGGTTAGTACATAGATTAATTAAAAAGCTTATAACAACAAAAATTGACTAGAATAATTAGTACGTACCGCTAGACAACATAAACTCCCTCTTCTTGGAACCACTCGTTCATTTTTTTGCGAAATTCAAGCAGAGATTCGGCGGGTTTTGAGGGAAAAACCAAAGAAATGTTTTCTGATGGCAGATCGGACTTAGCCGCAACCAACAGACCACTATTTCATAGGCTTTTGGGAGGGGAGGGGATAGAGAGATAATTTTAGAGAGAGTGTGAAGAATGGGTTGTGGTGTGAAGAAATGAGAGGGGGGGTATTTATACTACTCAGACCACACCCTCCAAGGGCAGTCTGGTAATTTTGCCCTGCCAGAAACCGCATCCTCTCGATGCGTTCTGCGAGGATCGAGGCACTAACCGCACCTGCCAGCTGCGGTCTTTGATCCATGGCGCGGATCGTTGAGCTGGCGTGCGGTCCGCCGTTGGATCGGCTGCTGATCCAGCGGTCTCCAAGGTCGCTCCCGAGGAAACACAGACCACGCCTTCAGGGTACGGTTCGCTTGCTGACGTGGCATGGAACGCACCTCCGAGGTGCGGTTTATATGTAAAACGCACCCTCCTTATGCATTTTATTTATAAAACGCACATTGGAGGTGCGGTTTACAAATAATGGTGCTATTTTTGTAATTTCTTTGGACTAGGTGCTATTTTTGTAATTGTTTTTTAAAAGGTGCTATTGTTGGAAAAATCCCCTGTAGGCCCGTTTTCCAAGGCGCTCGGACAACTGAAGTATTTGATCGTTGCAGTCCACTATTTCTCGAAGTGGGTCGAGGCCGAACCATTGGCAACCATCACCAAGGCCCAAGTTCGGAAATTTAGCAAGAAGAACATATTCACCTGGTTCGGCTTGCCGGAGTCCATTGTCACTGACCACGACAAGCAATTCGATTGCAAGAAATTCGTCGAGTTTTGTGCCGAGAATGGAGTGGTGCTGGGTTTCTCATCGGTAGCATATCCCCAAGATAATGGGCAAGCGGACGCGGCTAACAAAAGCATCCTTCACGAGTTGCATACCAGATTGGCGGGTGCCAAGGGCAGATGGGTGGAGGAATTACCCAATGTTTTGTGAGCACAATGGACTACCTACAAAACGGCCACAGGAGAAACACCTTTCGCCCTAACTTATGGTGGTGAAGCCTTCATCCAGATCGAAGTCAACATCCCAAGTTACCGGGTGGCTCATCAAGACCAAGTGAGCAATGGCAACAAGCGTCTGAATGAATTAGATTTGTTGGATGAGCGTCGAATAGTAGCAGTTGTGCACCTAGGGTCAATGGAGAGGCAAGTCGTGAGGTACTATGATAAGAAAATGAGGCCACACGGCATCATGGCATGTTACACACCGATCTTTCTAAGGGTCAAAATGACTATTATACCCATGGATTAATTTGTCAAGATCCACCATAATATTGATGAAGAGAAAAAATGTGAACTCTCTATTTAAATGGTGTCGGATTTCGATACTAAAATAAAGATACTAGAAGAATCGATCAAACAAATCCGAGCTCGTGAGAAGGGCCAGAAGGTATATGAAACCTTCCAATCTCAAACTTCAATATGCTTGCTTGGTGACCTCAATTGATCCATCTTCATTAAGCCATTGAAGAGTGTAGGGTTTTGGATGTTTCAATGTGTTTAACCCCAATTTCTTCACCGAATATTCACTCACCAGATTAGTGCAACTCTCTCCATCAATCACAACCGATAGTAGTTTACCATCCACTATCATCAAATGAGCTTCAGGTTGGATTATTGTTGCTGGACTCGAGCAAAGGGAGAATATATTTCAAACGAGATGCTTAGTGCATGGTAAACTACTATCAGTTGTGATTGATGGAGAGAGTTGCACTAATCTGGTGAGTGAATATTCTGTGAAGAAATTGGGGTTAAACACATTGAAACATCCAAAACCCTACACTCTTCAATGGCTTAATGAAGATGGATCAATTGAGGTCACCAAGCAAGCCATATTGAAGTTTGAGATTGGAAGGTTTCATATACCTTCTGGTCCTTTTCACGAGCTCGGATTTGTTTGATCGATTCCGCCAATATCTTTATTTTCGTGTTATTCAAGAAAGGAGAAAACCCCTAAAAAGTTCGACGTGTGCAACTCGGGTGTTTTGGTATGAATTTGGGAGGATTCTCGAATTAGGATAATATCAATTGGTATCAAGAGCCCGGTTCAAACGCAGCGGAGAAGACAAAGATTCTTGGAGTTCTTGGTAGTTCGAGAAGCATTCTTGGAAGTCCAATGTTTAGATTTCACTTAAATACATTAATCCAACCCACCAATCCTTTTGAACCAATCCATGAATCCAATCCACCATAACATAAAAGTATATATTTAGTTTGTACCATACAAGATATTGTATCACTCAACTATAAGAGAAGATTCGGCGATTTTTAATTTGCACATTACGTGAAACATAAAATAAATGATAAAAGAGAGACCACTATAAAATATTGCAAGAGCGAATTTATAAACTCATTTAGTACATTTACGGGGCACTAAATAAACTTCTACTAATTACATATAATAAAATATGCGACATCTACATAAGCAAGTGTCAATAAATTGCTACGGTGAAAAGGGTTGACTGTTGTATTGACGGCCAACTAAAAGAATTGGTTTTTACTTCCTTGACAGTAACTTGGCGACACAGCTCTGCCCCTTGTTCAGGCAAAATTTTCTTCATCGGGATCTTCCAATAGCTTTGTCTTTCTCTCCCAATAGCTTCCTATAAAAAGCTTCTGCCATTTTTTTCATTCCATCATTATCTGTAACTCTCTTCCCAGACTCATCAATAAGCGATCTGATCATGGTTCTCTTCAGCCTGGTTTTAACTAACTTGTGAAAATATGGAGTATTCACATCCACTTCTTTCAGCCAGACATCTCGAGACTTTTCCCTAAGAAAGGACTCTTCAACTTTACGTAAATATTTTTCCTCTTTCGCAATTCTAACTTTAGCTTCAAAAGTGAGGGGTGAAGGGTGATTGAGAGCATGAGCTTGAGCAACAAGCAATTAAGAAGCCTTTAATCGAACTCTCTCACTCAAATCAGAATATACTTCCTTATTGAGCTACTTAAGCAACCCTTTCAGAATCTTCAACTTCTGACATACACGAACTAAAGGGGAACCCTCTACTTGTGACATCCAAGCATTCCTAACCAGGTCCATAAATTGAGGGTGTTGAATCCAGACTTAAACAGTTTAGGTAGAGACTTTACAGAACAGTCTGGATTAAGCAATATTGGACAATGATCGGATACTGAGGGGTCCAGAAGATCCATAGAGCTTGAAGGCAGACCCTCTAACCCCTTAGTATTAACAAATACACGATCAAGTCTCGTGGCAATGGGGTTTCCCTGCTACTTATTGAGCCACGTGAACCACGGTTGTGATGCCTTATGCTCCTCTAATTCACAGTCATACTGCCATTGCCTGAAATCAGCCATGCTACTTGAAATAGGGGAGCATTAGAAGCTTCACTTGGATCCCCAATGGTATTAAAATCACCAAGAACAACCCATGGAAGAGTACTTACTTGAAACTTCACTAAATCCATGTAGAGGAGTCTTCTATCTGCCTCTTCATTTGATGCATAGAACACAAAGAGAAAGAAAGGAACTCCAGATCCAACCATCAAATGAATGAGTTGATCTGTTTTATGTAGAAGTTGAAGTTTCACATCAGACTTCCAAAGAAGCCACAATTTTCCCAACCCCACAGAATTATTCGAAACTTTTGACTACAAGCCAGGAAATCTCCTATTTATCATCTCATCAGCCTTATTAGCTCTAACTCTAGGCTCAAGTATAACTATAATATCTATACTGTTTCTATTCACTAGCTGCTGAGCAAATTTATTCTTATCCTGGTCATTAAAACCCCAGATATTCTAGGTAAGTATCTTCATCTTTTCTTTCCAGCCCTCCCCACTTTACGAGGAAAAACAGGTATTGCAACTCTAGGGGTAGTAGGTTTCTGCTTTGAGCCCTCAACTTTTATCCATGGATTTGTTTCCTTCTCCTTTGCAACTGAAGGAGTCTGAGAAACTAGCCTCCCAGAACCTGGTGGACTAGTCTCAACAGGCTTCTGTGGTAGTGAACTATGACTCCTAGTGTGAACTGATGATCCTATAACCACATCCACAAACCTTGCAGATGCACTCCCAATAGATTGAGGAGTAGGAGATTCCTGACTCTCATCATTCTTTGCACTTGAGGAACTAGGAGCCTGGCTACTCACAACAACAGCACCATCCACATTATGCACCAAGTCATTTAATACCACAATAAGCAATGAATCAACTATTGCATTACTTTCAACAACCTGCTGCACAGAACCTTCCTCAACAATTAGCTTCAGAACTGCACCAGATTTAGCAACACCCTCCATGTCAGCTTTCTTCTCTTTGACAACCCATTTCTTGTTACTTTTGGCCAGGAAAGTACAATCATGACCATACACAGCACAGATCGGGAAAACCACAGGAAAATTTAGATATTCAATTTCAACATCAAAACACGGATCATCATCAGGGTAGAGAAGAATCTTAGAGGGAAAACCACAATCCGCTGTGAGAACACACACTTTTGCAAACCCCAACTACCCCCCCCCCCCCCCCCACCCTAGTAGTTTTATCCATCCAGAGGGCGGACCGAGAGTGCTACCAACCCATTCTAGTCCATCAAGCGAATGATATTCCAAAAGGATACCCCATATATTGACCTAGATAGGCAGATACTCTACCTGAGGTGTCACCGGCTGGATTCCTGGAACCCACTTCCTGAGGTAGAGTTGATTCCCTTGATAGTGCCAAGGACCCGATTTAAACACCCACTTGCTAGTAGACACATAAGGGAATTGAAAATACAAACAGATGAGGTCCAAATCGCGACACTCGAACAACCCCATCTCTCCCCCAGATAGCAGTAGCCCAGGTTTGAAGGTACTCCACCTTAGGTTGAGCTTCGACGAATTTCCCAATAAGACAGTCGCGCCATCACTCTTCCCCCTTTTTCTTCACCTCTCGGGGAATCCGAAATCCATCATTGACACGCTCTAGAGGACGATATTTCATCCTATTCTCTGGAGCTATGTCAAATAGTTGTGCCCAAGTACTACCCCCGGATCTCTTTCCCGTTCCCTTCAAAAAAATTGAAAGCAAAATAGCTCCCCCTTCTTTTCTTTCGCAAAAGTTGAAACCACAAAACTTTTCTCGTCGT